ACACCTACGCACCAAGCTCGAGGTGAAGATGGCCTTACCTGAAGTTGTCTATATTCGACAATGCAGAGATTTGCTCATTGGGTTGATGCAAAATAAAGAATCCCGTGAGTTTAAAAAGATATCGTACCGTTGCATAAATATCACAATCTTGGGTTCAGAAAAGAAATGTTTTTTTGCTGGACTGCGTGTGCAAAATGTTGAAATTTCATGAAACTCCAGTCATTTAATTGATCAGAATGGAAGTATCTATCTTGATATTAACTACTCTTTACAATATAACTGAGTTCTAATCCAGAATATTCAAGGTGAATCGAAGACTTTTTCTCCTGTTCATCACTAATACAAAAAATGTGGCGTATTCTCATTATTTTTATCTGAAAGAATATTCTAAAAATTCTGAGCATGAAGATGATTCAATTGAATTTCGTTGAAATTATAGAAAAGCACTTAACCAGTACCAAACAAAAAAAAATTCTCGTATTTTCCCCATTGTTTGTCCCGGTCAAGAGGAAAAAAGTCTATGATACACTCTGTGTGCCAATGCCGATGAATGACGAATGTGTGGACGATTAGAACTCGAGTTTTATGCAAAAGATCTTTTTCGAAATTTGGAATAATTGTCTAAAATATTTCAATATTGTATAGAACAAATAACTCATCTACTGACGAGACATTTCAAATAGCAATGAGTCACTTTTAATCATTTTTCTGAAGACTTTATGTTATTGCTATCGACTTGAAATTATGTGGGCGTAATATGTAAACTTTTAGGCTTATAGACATCAGACTGCGTCATTTTTAAGTAACTTTTTTTTATCCCAGAAATATCCTTAAACACTTCCATTAGGTATGATGAGAATACTGTTGGAGGCGGAGCTCGGTCAGACAGTACTAAGAAATAGCCTCATGGTTATGAATGTTTCCTATTTGAATAGCACGTGACATCTGACTTCATTTATATATGCAACTTGACTGTTAGATGCTAAGTGCGACAGATTCCCGTTCATAAACAACAGTTAAGTAGGTGAAAGGCATAATTTTATTGAAAGTACATTGAAATGGGGAGGTGGATGAAAATGGTTTATCGGTGAGGTCCAAGAAAGATGCTATTAACTCCACAAATTATGTTTCGATGGGCTGGAGCCACCTCGAATTCACGATTATTCTTTGATGTATTAATAAATGCTGATGTACCGTTTTGGTGATGTACGGTATAAAGGAATATTGAGTTTTCTGGCGGTTCCTAACGCTTACTACGATGAATGAAACTAGTTGCTCATAGTTAGTGAAAATCCAATTATAAATTAGTCTCAAGTCGCCTTCATAGGCTTTCTCACAAAGCATAAATTTTTTTTTTCTTGACAGTACGTTTT